AGATACTTGATAACATTGTAGTTATCTCCCTCAATAACAATTCCTTTAGCTTCCATTCTCCAATCTTGTAGTATCTTTTCCAAGGATCTGAAAGCCAAAAGCTCTAGAAGACCACTATCCCAATGGACACATTAGAATCCAAAGGCAAGCAGAAACCTTCGCTTGGAATATCTGAAAATTCCAGCAAGACCAGCTTCATTAGACTTAAATAAAGCATCAGCAAAATTGAATTTGATCCATATGGGTGGAGGGTTGCCAAGATTGAAATATCGAGCGATAGTTAACACCCCAGTGATCCGAATAGATATTAATTTTTTTGTTGAAATTAACGTAATGCTAATTGCATTTGATGCAATATACCCCAATCCAAACTCTTTTCCACCATGCTGAACACTTTTTGCTTTTCCACTGGAAGAACACCAACAAACAATATAGATTTGCAATGAAAGGATTAGTACTATAGAGCAGGTCTAAATTTCTTATACAATCTAGAAAAGAAGAGAATATTGGAAGATGAAATCCCCACTTATTAATCAAATCAATAACAGGAATAAGCTTCTCATAGAGAACCATTATATGCTCTACATTTTCGACAGCCAAACAACCTCTCGGGCAAAGGTTGCAATTCAACAACATTCTATACATTCTGTACTCTGTCAGTCATCTATAAGACCTAATTCTATACTTTGTCAATCGTCTATACGACCTAAATCATACTGTGTGAACAATTCAAAAATGAATGTGTTCGTTTGATACGATTTGGTAGGAATATAATTTTGTACTATGTTAGTCATTTGTATGACTTGATATCATACAATACGAATAATAAAAAAAAAAAAAAACTCAAGACATGATTTTATTAACTACATTCTAGAGGAAAAATATGCAAAATCATACAATATGAATAGATATTGTACAATACAGTCATACTTTAAAAAAATTTTACCACTCTCCCCTCATGTGTATATGATTACCCAACTACAATTACACATCCTCAGACTGGAGAAATAAAAATAGAAATATACAAAATCTATTACATGAAATCATATTCTACCCTGTCTTGAAGTCTTCAACAATCTAGAGTACTATATGATTTGCCTAAAATGTTAGAGCACACAAAAATAAATATAAATATCCAATATATGCTAGGAGAAAAAAATAAAATCATCAGGACAATAATATTTTGCTATCATCAAAAATCACAATTTCAATCTTGATTCTTGAGTTGCAACAAACTATTGTTGGCAGGCGATGGTGGTCAGACGGGCCGCAGTCAGAGGGAAATAAAGGTTATAGTTAGCAAGTAACGGTGGTGTCAATTCATCCCTTAATTCAAGATCAGGGAGAGCATAATATGCCGAAGAGATTTATGAACTTCAAAAGATTTGTCACCTTGATATAGATTGAAAAACAGAGAATGTTTCATCAATATTTGACGATGGCAGGAGATTTAGTTTTAATCAACCATTAGATAGTTGTCTATAAATATTTGGTTGTTGGGAAAAGATCCAACAATAGCCAATAAATAATCGGAAGTTTGATGAGGGTCGGGGTTGGAGTCGGTGACAGTCAGTAGTCGGAAGAGATTCGGTGTGGTGCAAGCTTGAGAAAGCAAGAGAGATCCTTTGCTTTTCTTCTTTTCCTCCCCTCCCCATTTGTGAAAAATGAGGGGTCTTATATATATATATATATATAATATTAATATATTATATATAATATTTTTTTTTGAGTGATATGGCTAAAAACAAGCGAGAAGACCAAGGACACATTGGGATTGTTTTAAATGGAAGAACGATATCAAACTCCCTTGATCATGGACGTTTATTGATCACAATGATGTCAAAATTCAATGATCTTTGGCTCATGGATTCATCTCATCGAGTTGCTCAATTTGTACTATAAGCATGTCACATTCGGATATCATTTACTCGTTCAATTAATTTCTAAAGCTTCAAAAGGCTTCGGGCCCTCAATATAGACCCAGTGGGGTTCAGATTGGACCAATTTTGGTGACATTGGGTTCGTCACTTTCCAACGTTCAATTGTCTATAAGTTTGCTAAAATCAGAGTTTAGTTGTTCTTTGATTTAATTTTTTAAGTTTTCGTTCATATTTTCATCGAGATTCATGCTCAGATCATGATAATTTTTTATGCAGCAAGTGGTAATATTTATAACTACTAATAATAGTTCAAAAATTAAATTAAAAAAAAAATAAATTTCAAAAAAAAAAGCAATTGAAACAAAAGAAAAAGAAAAGAAAAATTGAATGTATATACCTTAATATAAATGTAATTAGAAAAATAACTTCGTTCTTTTATCACATATAAACATTTTGTTTATTCAAATAATCATAAACCTAAGTAATTCCACCGCTCCTCTTGGTGTGCCTTTACTCTATAAAAATTATATTAACTTTGGTATTGGGCACACAAAAGTGGGATTTATGACCCTACGCTTGAGTTCATCCGCAAACTTCTCTTCTCGTCACATACAGGGGCTGTTTGGTATGCAGAATTAGGAGGGTAAAGGAAAGTAATTTTATGCATTTTCTAAATTAGGTCGTTTGGTTGATTTTGAACGGAACATAAGAAACTCCTCCGAAGCATCAACGGTTGTGATTACATACAGCCTTTCGTGAGACATCGAACCCGCTCAAATTGAGGACTTTTATTACATCCGCGTGCAAGGACGTAGAGGAACGTCCGGTCGGAGTCAAATTTTCGCCAAAAAACTCGTATTTTTCGGTACAACTAGGTATTATTTGATAATAACGATGAATACCCTTTTGAAGACCAATACCGAGTTATACGAGCTATATCGAGAAATACGAGTTGTACGAGTTTTTTCTAGGAAAAACTCGGTACAACTTTTGTATAACTCGGTATTGCTCAAGATAGTTCGAAATAACTCGGTATTGGGTCTTCACATGATGTTATTCCTCGTTATTATTTGATATGCTCGGTGTTTACTCGGTACAACTCGGTATTTGGCGGGAATTTGCCTGCGACCGGACGTTCTCTACGTCCGGGCGGAGGACGTAATAATTGTTTTCCAAATTGAGGGGGTTATAATTCTCTCGCGCAAAAAAAAAAAAAAAGAGAACCAGCCTGGGTGATGATTTCACATAATTTGAACTTATAAGTGCTCCTATCTTCTCCGTTCTTCCCACGCGCGAGCGGAATCGAATCTTTCTCCCTCTCTCGAAGCCGAAGTCCTCTCTCCTAGTTCCCTCTATTCTCCGCCTCCTTTGTTGCTGATTGACTTCGCTCCTTTGATGGCTTGCCTTTCCGATTGGAACGGAAGATACAACACTTTGATCGGAGGCCAGATGAGAGTTCGCTCACTGGGAAACCCGTCGACGTCATTCCCTTCCTGAATATATACGAAAGTTAGAACATTTTTGTCACAAGCAACTTGGGAGCACACACGCTGTTAAGGTAACTTTCTACCTTCCCGACCTTCTTTTGCCAAATCCTGTAAAATCGCCCAACTATAGGACTTTGTAAACCCGGGATTTACTGGCCTTGAAGGGTTCTTCCACTGTATGAACAATTTTAAGAAGTCAAGTTTGGTTAGAAGAGTTTTAGAGTTAGCCACATCTCAATTTAAACACAGAACGGCTGGAAAAGCAAAATACCTGATGACTAAATGCATAAGCCAGTGCTCTTTCTCTTCTCACGAGAGCCTCTTGCTTGCTTAAAATACTTGCTTCAATTTGTTAAAAGCCCTTTCTTTTATTTTTTAGGAAAGTGAACATTTTCAACTTATTATAAAACTAGCATTTCAAACTTATCTATCACGTTTAAGTGCGCAAATATCATAGAAAAACTCTAAGTCCTTTTCAAGGAATAAAATGGCAATTGTACCATACCGATGGGGTATTCGACTAAACTTAACCAAACATAATACTGATTATTTGATCTTATAGGGTAAAATCATCCAATTAATTCTATGGCTCTAGTTAGAATTTTATATTTTAACTTTTAATTAATCTACCACAGCCTCTAATACTTCATTTATTTGAATAAGTCTAGCAAAAGCTATTATAAATTAGATACATTAAAATATTTGTATATTCATTTAAAAAAAAATTATGTTAAGGGATGTAAACCTATCATTTTATTCATCCTTTTATCTTTTATCTTCAATATGTCATTACTTTCTGCTTCATTGTTCTTTGGAGCTATGTTTGCAATCTAAATTCTGTAATATTCTCTCTAATTTTCTCTGTATGTTAATATTGAACTTTTTTTGAATTATATTGTGTGCCACGGGTCTTATTCTTGTTTCCTTTGTTGAATCTCTGCATTAGTTAGACACTACTGCTTACTTCTATGTTATTAACTTGATTATATATCTTTCTTGCCACTCTTTTGTCTAAACATCTGTTCTGCTGCTTTCAAATTGAGATGTTCAAGTTGAATGCAGTGGTTGGCATTACTCAATTTGATGATGAAAACTGGGCAATTCTTGGCCTCCTTTATTGGTGTCTTTCGATCAATTGATTTGCATAATTTTTACTTTAATAATAAGCAAAAAGCATACACCACAGAACATCCTCTTACATATCTCTAGTAAAAACATCCATATAATGAGTTGCTCTGCTAGGGTTTCTTCCCTAGATGACTGATTTCCGCCATCTTTTTTCCTTCTCTAGTGGCTCTGTCGAAGGTTTTCTCCCTCGACTTCCTTCACCCCTTCCCCCCTCTAATGGATCCTTCCACTTTATCTTTTGATTTCCCCCCTCTCACCTCCTTGGGTGACGGGGTTCGCACCTCCCCTAGCACAAATGGCCAAACATTTTTGCCTCCACAAATTCCTCACACAATAAAATACCGATCTCCTTCTACCCCTCTAAACATTAAACCATTGGTTTTTAAGGAGAAAGATTGTGCTAGTGCTCAAGACTGGAGCTTGTGCCTAGTAGGATACTCCTTAGGTAGGAGGTCTTTTTATAAAGCTTTACTTGGCACTATTCAAAAAACCTTGCCGCTTAAAGGTTCATTCAACATTTTATTTTCAAGCGATGGTTTCTTCCTACTTCATTTTTTGTCCATAAAAGATTATGACTTGGTATGGTTTAGAGGAGTCTGGTTTCTCCTTGGTAAACCTTTCATCCTCAAAAAATGGCACCACCATTTTGGCCCCAGAGGGAAAATTTTTTCTCTGTTCCTATCTAGATCAAGATCCACGATCTACCTTTGGCTTGCTAGAATTCTAAAGGGATTTCCAGAATTTCAAGTAAAGTGGGCATTCCCCTCACGGTGGACTCTTTGAAAGCTCAAAGGACCTGCCTCACCTTTGCCAGAATATGTGTTAAGTTTGGCTACAATGCCAAGTTCCCAGATGAAATTCCCATTTCTTTGGATGGGGATGAGTTCAGCTTGAAAGTCCAATACGAATGGAGACGTACTCCAAGTGAATTTTGTAATTCCCTAGTTCATTACTCCTTGCTCTACCTTTCAAAGCCGCCCCCCACTTTAGATCATACTAGTAATGCAATAAATATTATTAGAGGTAGGAGTACTAGTAGAAAACTGAGAAGTCATGCGACACCTAACAAAAAATCCTCTAATCTGGCCAGCCCATTTCCATTGCTCTTGCCCCAGCCACTAACAACTCACGCTCCACCTCCATTGTTATTGTATCGGGCCATACCTCTCCTTCCCTTCCCCCATCTAACAGTAATGCAGAGCCATGGTTTAAAATTGCGCAATAAGAGGCACGCCTTGAGGCGCGCCTCTGCGCAATTCCTGAAAAAA